ATGACTTAAATACTTAAAAATAATATGAAAATGTTTTATACATTTAAAGGGAAAAAATATCAAAATATATTTTATATAAAATAACATAAAATTGATAAATTCATTGTTTTTATTCAGTATTTTATTAGATTTGTAAAACACAATTTCAATGCATAATATAAATATGTTCCGTAATATAATACTTCCAAAGTCCCGTATATCGATCAACTCATCCACACAATCACAACAATATTATAAAACAAACATAATTTTTGCAAATGAAGATACAATATACTACTACTATATAAATGTATAGCTCTAATAATGACATTACAATGTTTTTATGTTAATATCAAATATTTATTATAATTTATAAACAGATTTAAGTTTTCATAATTTTATAAATTGTGTTTAACTAATTAATTAATGCAAACATTTATTCTAATCAAACATTAAAATTATATTTTTAGAAAAATTTAAGTAAATTTATATTTACAATGTAATAAATGTACACAAAAAAGAAATTTGAAAATTGTGTAAACTTTATGATAGATAAATAAAAATAACTTATTTTTATATAATAAAATATATCCTAAAAGTTAGATGAAGTTAACTTTAAAGCTACGAGAAAATACATACACAAAACAATATGATTGCTTATATTGATTTATTTGACTGATTGATACCACTTTTATTTAAAGCAAAATTTTTTAGGATATGTTGTTATTGTCAACTGACTCTTTGATAATAAATTGGATCAATAAATACACTGCTTTTAAAAATGTCAGCATTTTGACGAAAGCATGAAGTTTTTGTTATTGTTATCGCAAATAACAGTTTTGTATGTTTTTACAGTACTATTGACTTCAGTTGCGACAGTTTATCAACTTTTCTAAAAATATTATATATGTTTGTTAGTCTATACTATAGAGTCTATACAAACCTATACACATTTACAATATTAGACACAATATATTACCAGTATGTCTATTATTACATAATATGTATACATTGTAACTACAGTATTATATATCATATTTGGTCAGTTTTATAATATCGTTCTCAATAAAGTATATTATATGATAGTTTTGTTTCAATATTTATAATATTATAGATAAGTTTATGATAATTCTAATTTAGTGTTAGTTATAGTGCGTTAGATTTGACTATTTTTAGCTAATTTTATGACATTAAGTTTAAAATACAGTTTTATTAAATTGTGAACACAATTACTACAGAATAAGTGCATTAAACCTAAATTTATATACTATTTTAATCTGTTATGTTTATATTTAAATTGATTTTTGATAGATTGCTTTTATTTTTGAATTTAGTTATTGGATTTATAATTAATTTCAGATATAATTAATATTATAAATGATTTTACAGTACCTAAGATATGAAAATCTTTACCGGTTCTTACATTTGAAATGTTAATATTTGATAATAACTGTTTCAAGTGAACATAACATTATATTAATGTTGTTTTATTGTATTTCAATTATTTATAGAAATATTGAAGAAAATATATATTACATCATTAAGAATTTATAGTCATTTAATAATTTTAATTTATAAACAATTATTGTATATATATTTACTGTACTAACTCTTAGGTTATTAATTTAGAGTTGAAAATCATAATAAATTTATATTTACATAATTTAAACTCTTACCCACAATAATTGTATTATTGTATTGTAAGGATAGTTGGCTAATGACTGGTATATGCAATGAACAGTTATAAATGATATACCGGTGTGTGCTTTATATAATTAGACTGGTATTGATGGCAACAAATTGTAAGCCAATAGCTATTTTTAAAAACTTTATATAAACAGTAAAGCCTTTTTAAAAATGTTTCCGATGTTAAGCCATTATTTGCATACAAATTGGACCAAAAACTATGTTAAGCCTCTTGTCTGTCGAAGTCCTTCGGGAAACCAATTATATAAAAGGGATGAATGTATTGGTGATGTGTTTGTGTACCAGTTGTTCGGTTTGTCTGCTCTTATCTTCAAAGGATTACATTCAAAATCAAGAATATGTTATGACATGAAAGCGACACAAATGAATAAATACAGAATCTCTCTCTCTCTCTCTCACTCTCTCACTCACTCACTCACTCACTCACTCACTCACTCACTTTTTCTAAGTATTAGACATAACAACTAAATCTATTGTATGCAACTTTTACATAATATAATTAATACAACACAGGTATTAACACTACTTTTACTTTTATATGATTGTAAACATACAATAGTATTCATTAATGGATCACATATTATAATGTATTAAATCTCTATAACAACTATTTTGCAGCACTTAATCACTTATTACTTATGTTTCTCAGCAACTCTTAGTTAATTCTTTCACATAACTAATAAGTATTAATATTAAAATGTTTTTATTAATATAAATAAATAATTAAATATTAACAATAATTTTATTTCTAAAAATATTACATTATTTTATAACAAAATTAATGATTGTTCAATTTTAAGTGTTTACGTTTATTATATAAAATTTATAAAAAATATAGTAATTATAAATAAAATTAAGTAATATAAATTATACTGTTATTGATTTATATAATTAAAATGTATTTATTGATTTATTAATAATTAGAATTATTTAAAAACATTGATATTTTTATTCCCATATTAATGGCATGAATTTCGGCATAAACATGAAATATGTTATACATAATAAAGTCATTTTGATTCAAACATTTATACGAAAATATAGTACATTACTAATATTATTAGCTAAATAGCATGTGTTTTATATTTGTAAGTATTATAACAATTGAATGAAAAATCATTTTTATGGTTTTACTACAAATATATTTGATGACAAAATCAATACAACTATTTTGAATACAATACTAAAGAAATCAAAAATATAGTAATCATTGAAGCGATTGAATGAATAAATGTGGTTCACTATAAATATAGCAATTGTATGTATGACTATAACTTTATTTATATTGTAAAACATGTATACATTAATTCAACTCATGAATGAATTGCTCTAATTATAGGTTTAATAATTATGACAGAAATTTATTATTAGTTTTGAATTATGATATACTATTTGCTTTGATTTATGCAAAACTATCTTTAATATGATTATAATATAATATGGTTTTTTGGAGGTAAAACAGTAGTGAAATTGTTTGGTAATATAATAATGTGAATATTTTTGCAATAATTAGTTTACAAAGTATTGAGTAATGAAATACAATATCAAAATAATGTTTAGGTTTGACAAAATCAATGTTAAGTTATTTATGATGAATTGCTTTTAGCTAACATTATATCATTGCTGTATTTTGTTATATCAACACTATTGGAGAAAATGTGATCAAACAAACAATTGTGTTGTAAATGGACAGACCTATTCATATGAAAGCACTGGTATTGTATGTTAGTTTTATAATATTAAATAAAAAATATGGATAAAAATGTGGATAAAAATGTTTAAAAATCATCAAATCGTATAAATATTCAAAATATAAAATGTAAAATATATTACGATATATATATGCATTACTTAGTGATGTATCAGATTTCAAAATAGCTCTTTGAAAAAAAAGTTTTCATTTTAACACAACATATAAGCCATTAAACACTTTTCATTCATTGCTGAATTAAAAAAAGATTTCTATACAAATGTTTTTTTGATGGTTTACAGTGTATATATAATATTTATATTTCAAATTCATTTTTATATGATATATGTTTTGAAAAATATATTATATATGTATTGCTTTAAACAGAAAAATTTGATATATTTTGCAATATATTTATATATTGTAAATCTTTTTCAAAAAATACTACATTGGATTGTAAGGAATGTCATATTAATGAAATAGTCTATTTCAAATAGTGATGAAATGTAGAGATATACAGTAGTAATGTATAATATTATATTATATGGTATATTAAAAAAAGTTAATTAACATTATATTCTCAAAAGGTTTTAATCAGTAGTAAACTCATCAATGAATGAAAATAAAAGGTTATTTCAGTATTTAATTAAATTGATGTGAACTTTAAAAGATAATCTAAAAACGTGTTAATATTATAGAAAAGTAGTTATCACTTAAAATAATATTTTTAAGTAAAGAAGTGTAGGTTTTGGGTCTCAACATATTAACACTCAATCATTGAATTATAGTCTTATTTATGTTATATTCACTTTGTTTTCAATTCATTACTTTTGTATATAGTTTTCAAATACAAATATCTAAACAAATCTTTCAGCAAAAGGACAAGTATTTTAATTAAAATGTACTCAAAAAATGTTTGTCTCACAACACTATTTTATTTATTGTATTTAATAGTAATGCCATTATTTTAATTAAATGCTCTCAAAAAAACAAACCATTAATTAGCATCAATGGCTAATATAACAACACTACTGAAAAGTGATTGGAGTTAATATAATTGTTGTCCACAACATCTCTGTCTAATCAACGACTTATAGCTCTATAAAATTGGTTTCATTTGATTTGATTTTTATTATTAACTCAGATATTGTTAAAATTCTCCAATTATTTTAACATTTTCCATAATAGACATAGTTTTAACATTAATTTACTTTTTTAAGTCATAAAAGAGCAATGAATTTTACACACATTTTTTCATTGACTTTAAAAAAAATCTTGGAAATTATAAATATTGTTTATACGCTCAATATATAAATTAATATAATGATTATATTGAAGATTAAATAATATGATTAAATTGAATTAATACTATTAAAGTGAATAAAAAATATTTTGATATAACTATTGAAAATTGATTACTTGTTGTGAATGTTGGCTTTGTTTCAATACGACTACAATTTCTAGATTTTGTTTACGATATTTATGTTACACTTTATGTCTAAAAGTTTTTAAAATATGGCAGAAAATAAGTTTTGACTCAATTTCTTAATTAATTTTATTTATTTAATCATTTTTTTTTGTTTTTCAATAATTTATATCATTTATTTGTTTTATAGTTATTTTTGGATTATTTTTGAGTGTATATATCAATAAAGTTGTTTTATGAGCAAAAAAAGTTGTGTTCAAACATAAGTGTATTACAAATATATGAAACACTAATTGAAAGCAAACATCAATCGATGATATGATGAGAGATGAGACCAAATATAAGACATTTATATTGAAACAACACTTCAATGGTATGGATCGTCATATTTATTGATACACTTATTGTTGAAAACTATGTGTAAACATGTTTTTATTTATTTTATTTTTATATTAACGTATTACAAGATTTTATAGACTTTTTTGTACTATTTATATAACAAATGATAATAATATATGATATACAGTATATTGTATAACAACAACATTTGGCATATGTTTAGTATAAACTTTAAAATAACTTAATAAAAATTAAAGTAAATAAAAATGACCATGTATCATTTTAATATAGTTTATTAAAGTGAAACATAACAAGTATAAGACATTTTTTTAAAAATTGGTTCATTATATTTCTCTAAGAAATATACTTAAATTGATGTGTTTTATGCAAACCAATAAAACAGTAATATATCTTATAATAAAACTATTAAAGTCTATAACATTTGTATGAAATAAAGAAAATAGTTTTGCAAAACATATGCTATTATTATTATAAGCTATTGAATCGATTTTGTCTTTTTTATACAAATTTATATTATATACGGTATAATACTTTTTACTATTATATGACTAATGTAGTTGTTTTGGTGTTTAAAACGAAATATTATTTTTATTGTACATTATTTGAAACTACTTTTAACTAAACGTAGTTTTATTGAAACTCTTGCATTAGATTTAGAAAACTTATATTATAGTAAAAATTGATTGTCTTTACAACGAAAATATAAAAACAGTTTTACAGTCACACAAATAGACGAATATTTGGTTTTGACTTTAGCTATACTTTTTTATATACATTTTTATGTATCATATATTTTGTTTCACTTTTCATAGTATTTGTCTTTAATCCATCACATGATGTTTGCCTTATAAATGTGTGTCTAATAAAATAAGACAACTTTCTATATGTCAATCTATATCCAATGCAAAACTATGTTTGTAAAGGCTTTATAATATTATATTTTCTTTTATATGTATTTATTGTCTCAAAATTGAATTTAATTTCACTTTTAGATTTTTTTACCAAAATCTCTCTCTTTCTCTTTCTCTCTCTCTTTCTCTTTCTCTCTCTCTCTCTCTCTCTCTCTCTCTCTCTCTCTCTCTCTCTCTCTCTCTCTCTCTCTCTCTCTCAGTCTCTCTTGTTAGCATAAAATAGTTATTAAATTTATTAGAGTTTCTTTTATTATGTATTTTCATACATATAGTAAAATTTTGTAAAGTAAATATTGATTAAAATATACAACTAAAAGTTAATTTTTAGATGTCATTTTTTAATAAAAAAAACATTTCAATAAATCTATGATACATTATAAAAAAGTGTATCATATTATGCATAATAAATTTGAGTGATAATCAGTTATTTCAAATAAATTTATTGAATAGATAATTGTGACATTGAAGTGACAAAATTTAATCAATAGTTTATATGATGATAAGTATTTCAAATACAACCTATATATGAGATTATGTTAATTAAATGTGTTAACATGCACATTTCTATTTAGATTTTATGTAAATTTTGCAATTTTCAAAAGCAAAAATAAATTGATTTATAAATAAATTTTAGTAAAAGTCGATTTAATTAAAATGTCTAAACAAAGTCGCTTATAATATAACAATGTGTATGTAATTTAGCATTTTATACATTTGATTGTCAAAAACAAAAGCTCTTATATATGAATATTTTGAGCAATTTGTTAATATTATAGAATTATAAGACTATACATTACTACACATCATTTATATGGTATGTTTTAGTTTTGTAAATACAGTTATAATTGTTGCTATGACTGTAAGTTTATGTTAAAAAAGCAAAAAGTGTGCAAAATTACATACATTTTAACTACAATTTATATTGTAGTATATTTTTGACACGACTTATCATTTATATTTCTAACAATTCATTTAGAAATTGTATACTTCCTAACAAATTATACTAAATATAAATGATTATAATATATTTAAAATATAATATGGTATAAATCTTATTTTGTATGAGTTTATAATGAAAAATGAATTTTTTAATGTAAAATGCATTTTATAAAATATTACTAATATATATATATATATTCAGAATCAATTGATCATTTTGTTTATGTTTTGCTTATTTTGCACATCATTTAGTTTTATTACAATTTGCATTAATCAATATTTCATATTAAATATAGTTTTACGTATTTATGTATAATTTTTTTTAATAATATTAATTTAATTTCTTAAGTAATGTTAATGTTATAAAAACAATTTAAATATTTTAGAAATTTACTCAAAAATTATTAATTTTTAAGACTTACAGAAAAAATATGTTAAAAAATTTAATTTATTTATATACAATATATTTTTTATGTAATATTTTTTTATTATTTTTAATAGTGATTTATTAATAGACATTTGAGAAATAGATACGGTGTTATGCAAACAATATTTACTAAAAATTAGACGACATTTTGAATAAATTTATTAATCAAATTATCATATATTAATATATTGATAACTAAAAGTTAAATTATATAAAATATATAAATTTAAATAAGTGTTGAAACTTAAAAACCTCTGTTTCAAGTGACAACTAATATTAAATGTAAGTGAAAATTAAGAAACTTATAAATTATATATAATTTTATTTAGTTATTCAATTATATAAATTTTTATATCTTAATAATACATTATTGTAAATGTACAATTTTAAAATTTGTATAATTAGCATAATTTTCATATCAATTATTATTTTATTAGTATTTATTTTATTTCTAAGATATTTATATAATTTTATTATCAAAAAACCAAAATTGTATAAAATTGTATCACTTGTGATATCAGATGATTATTTAGACGAAAAACCAAATAACAATCAAAAGTTGTTTCGAAACGATTAAACTCCAGATGTTTCACATACTATATCGAAAAAAAACTTTATTATAAACTATTTTTAAATAACACAAGAGATTATCACTTTTTACTCAAATTATTCCATATTTTTTTGATAAATCAACAAATTTTAGTCAATTATTTGTTTATTGTGTAAATGAATTATATTTTATAAAATAGATAACCATATGGAGAGATATGGAAATAAATAATACTTTTTTAAGTGAATAAAACTTATTTCATTGAGTTATTTGTGAAATAGTATTTAAGTTGTAGTGTTTTGTATACATTAAGTTAACAACTCTTTCATATATACTATATGTTATATAATGTATTGTTATGAGTGAAGAGTACATTATTTTATATTAACATTAAATGTCTGAACTCTACCTTTGATTTATGGTTTTAAATATTTGCGAGACGTCTATAGGTTTATCCAAAATTTAGATCCAACTTTTTATAGTATCATCATATGCTTTAATTTAAACATTAAAGCAACTTTTGTTGTCAATTATTTTTATAGTAAAATATAAATAATAGCAAAAGTTTTGATTTTGATTTTAATTCCTAAGGCTTGGTTGTCGTTAATGTTTTTATTTTCTTAATTCATTGGATTTATCGTTATATTAATGATTTAAATGAAATTCATAGCTTACTCTTGAATTACTTGATTATTTTAAGCAATATATATATATATTATAACATTTTTACAAATTATATGATTTTTTATTAAAGAAGTTTAAAAATTATTATTTTATGTTCATTTATTATATATATATATATATATATATATATATATATATATATATATATATATATATATATATATATATATATATATAAATTATAACTACATAATAAATTAAATATTATATTACAACTAATAATAATAAATTGCATTTATTTTCAAAATAAAAGTGACTAGTTTATTTTTTCTTTGTTTATCGATAGCAAAATAATAATAGATAAATTATGGCTCAATATGAGTACAATTTTTAATATTTAAAATTAAAACATACATCATAATCAATGTAATTTTATTTAAAAAATAAAAAATATTTTATGCAGAATGTAATACAGTATATGAATGTAACTAATTTTTTTAATCGAAACAATATTTTAAATACTGTTTAATTAACTGATTTAAATATCAAATTCATTAATATCAATAGTAGAAAATGTTCAATAAGTTATAAAAATATAACTTTATTTTTATTTAGTATGTTAAATTATTATATATTAATCAATCCTTATTTAATGTTAAAATATAAAAAATTTCCAGGAATTTTCCTGAGAACATGGAAAAGATAAAATGTGAAGTTTTTCGAGAATATTAAAAACTCAATTTATTGATAATAATTATTATTTTTAGAAGTTTATTATATTGTTAGCTAATACTTAATAATCTATTAATTTACATTACTCATTTATTAATTTTTGTTTCATAAAATACTGATATAATAATTGTAATCTAGAATATTCTTAAATTAATATATTTCTTAATAACAATCAGTTTCAATATATTATTAATTTCAAATAATAAGTTTAATAAATTAAATACATTATACATTTATTAGTTACATTAAATAAAATAGTAAACTTATAAATAGATGATTTATTTGAAAGTAAACTATAAAAGTAAGAAAGTGAGATATATTGTAATTGTAAGAGAGTTGGATATTTGACATAATGTATAACGATTAGTGAATGATTAATTTAATGATAATACTATATAATAGTCATTATATTTGAATCTATTTTTCAAAATTATGTCTGTTTTAAGCAAATATAGCATTAGTTATGAACCGTAGTATTCAATGGTTTTGCCACAAAAAAACTATTTTTAATGGCATTGAGCTCTTGAATGTTTGATGAGTATTCAGTTACCTTTGCATTTACAAACATTATTATCTTATGTAATGTTATGTAATATAATGTATGGTAAACCAAATAATGTAATGCTTTGTCATTACATAACAATCCATTCAATAGGATTAGTGTTTGAATGAGGAGAGGACTCACCAGAAAACTAGAGTATAGTTTGAGAGAAAACAATGGTTTTTTATATGGAAACCAATTTGATTACTTACCAATGCATTGGATCCTAATTTTTGATGTTTCATCTAATCTTATAGTTTGAGCACTTTTTGATACTCTCAATACTTGA